TCACAGACAGTCCACTATTATGCTGAGACTCAGAACCTCTTCAAGAATTGGGGGTTTATTAAAATGGTTTGCCCCAAGAGGCTTATGGGTCTGGATGAACTCCTGATAATTTCCTGTTGACTCAGCTGGTTGAAGCCTTGGCCAGTGTTTAGAAAAGGGACATAGCCAGTCCAGTGGGTGTAATCACACCTGGGCAGTTTTCTCAGATTTTTTCAAGGAGCTGGTAGTGATAAATTACATGAGATTGCAACATTGACAGAAAACGTGGAGTAGGGTCAAGCAAACAAAGGCTGCTGATATGAGAGCCCACTCTACAGTAATACAGAGAACAAAGACAAACTCATTTTCTGCCTCCATTGCATCTGAAAAGAGCTAGACAGCAGAGCTGTATTGAGTGGTCAGAGGTCTTTTAAATGTGGGAAGATGCACAACTTCTGCCAACGCCTTCTTTGCATTTCCCTTAACACTCTGTACTTCTCCTATGCCAAGGTGTCAAACTCACATCAATCTTAAGTTTTTCCTCAGGCATTGAAAGCCTCATGGACCACATACAATAATGTGGCGAGCCGGATTCAGCCCATAAGCCTTGTGTTTGACACATGTTCCCTAAGTCATCTTTCCTCCAAACATAATAAAATGTATTTTATAGAAACAGTGCTGTAGTCCCCAAGCATTTCTAAAAGTTACTTTTAGGCCTACATCTCTCAGACATCCCAATCCAGCATGCCCACTGACTATACTAATTGAGTAAATCTTGGAGTTGTGGACCTCATCCAACAACCTTGTAATGCTCTTCTCTTTTTTGTTTTGATATGCAGCATGGGATTACTTCCATAAGATACCTTTTGGATTTTATCTCTCAGAATCTCAGAACCAGGGCACCACAATTGAAGGGAGATGTTGACAAGATGGAATGTGTCCAGAGGAGGGCGAGTAAAATGATCAAGGGTCTGGAGAACAAGACCTATAAGGAGAGGCTTAAAGAGCTGGGCATGTTTATTCTGCAGAAGAGAAAGCTGAGAGGAGACATGATGATGGCCATGTATCGAGATGGGAGGGGAAGTCATAGGGAGGAGGGAGCACGCTTGCTTTCTGCTACCCTGGAGACTAGGAGGTGGAACAATGGCTTCAAACTAAAGGAAAGACAATTCCACCTGAACATTAGGAAGAGCTTCCTAACTGTGAGAGCTTCCTAACTGTTCAGTGTGGTGGAGGCTCTTTCTTTGGAGGTTTTTAAGCAGAGGCTGGATGGCCGTCTGCTATTTTCCTGCTTTTTGGCAGGGGGATTCTGAAAGTTGTGACACAAAAAAGTAACTTGTCTTACCTCTGTACTGGGAGTATTTTCCAACACCACACACACAATCACATTAATGAAGAAGCACGCCACCTTGGCCATGCAACAAAGTAGTTCTTACCATGGCCTTGCTTTCTTTCATAGCCTGCACTGTTTGGTGAGATGTTGGCTGCTTAACAAATGAGCAATTTGCAACAAAATGAAATGTCATTGTAGGAGATTATGGGCCTCTCCAGAATGTCATTGTGCATAGTTATATTGTTGAAAGAAAATGACACTCTTCTGGTGTTGAGTTTGCACAGCCCTGAATGTATGCAACGATCTGCTAATTAGAACTGGAAAAAGAAAACGGTAGAGTGTAGCCAGCAGGGCTTTTGTCTCCATTCTCAGTTCTTTGCTTTTTAGGTTTCTATGGGTTTAAAAAAAGCTGACAGAACCGTTTCTGAAGTAATGTTGAACATGAAACAAGCATATGGATTTCTGTTGCAACCTCCAGTTTGTAGAGGCAGAATAAATATTTCACAGGAGACAAAAAGACAATTGTTGAATATTTAACTCAAAGGTTTTTTTTTTTAATGGCTGTAAAAGTTTACAGTTTGTGTTGTAATTACCACCAGTATTCTTGAGGAACCACTGTGGGTAATAGCATTAATTCCATTTTATAGATGAGAAACTGAGTTTGTTTCTAGGAACATAACTTCTTGCAATCCTGATACTTATTTGTTTTTGTGTTCAAAGGGAGCCAATGTGATCTGTTGTAGCAGGCAGAATGTTGAGACGACTTACTATAGATGGAAATCTCTATTTTGGCTTGACTCTTGTAGAACTGCCCTGGGAAATCATAGAATCATACAGTTGGAAGAGATCACAAGGGCCCTCCGGTCCAACCCACTGCCATGTGTGACACACACAAAGTTCTTTGGAATCTACAATGCAATTTGGATTTGTAATTGGTTAAGCGACCAAACCCAGAGGGTGCTCACCAATGGTTTTCTGCTGCTCTGGAGACGAGGACTCATCAAATCACAGGAAAAGAGATTTCATCTGAACATGAGGAAGAACTTCCTGACTGTAAGACAGTGGTTCTCAACCTGTGAGTCCCCAGATTTTTTGGCCTTCAACTCCCAGAAATCCTAACAGCTGGTAAACTGGATGGTAAACTGGTGTAGGCCAAAACACCTGGGGACCCACAGGTTGAGAACCATTGCCATAAGAAGATCTGTTCAGCAGTGGAACTCTCTGCCTCAGAGTGTGGTGGTGTTGTAGCCTTGTCAGATTCTGAGTTTTTAGAAGATGAGGAAGGAGAGGCTGGGAGAGATTCAGAGAGCCCGAAGAGAAATGTTTTAGGACCTCCTGGCAGTTTCCAAGAGAACAGTGAAGGAGAAATTTGTTCTCATGGGAACCTGCCAGAGGTGGAGACTGAGGGAAATGTGGGAGACAAATGTTTGTCATGGTCAAAGAGATAGGAGATGAGACAACAGGACCTGCAATTAAGAACTTGCTTCTCCAAGTGACTTAGAGATAAGGAAAGCAGGTGCCAAAAGAAATGACCTCATGACAGGGAGTTTGGCTTTTAAAAAGTGGTTCATGTTGGTATAATCCTTGTGAGAGCTACACTGTGTTCAGGTGCAGAGCTCTCAGTGTCTTGGGCCTCGGAATTCATGTAACTACATTCTCAAGCTGTTCCTGCGTTATGGTCTTGTGAGGCATGGTATTGCCCACCTTGGATTTATGTACCTTGTCTTTACATATCTCAGTGGAATTGTTTTAGAGACTTTCTGTAAAGGGATTTTTGGACTTTTGGCTTTTATGGAATATAACCAAAAGTTTTTTTTAATTGCTTGCTTTTCATATCTCCAGCTTTTCTTATACTCTGCTTTAATAAACTCTTACATTGGATTATCTGGACAGTGTGTGGTTTGTGGTGAAAAGAGGCTTTGAGGCCCTAGTGCAACAGGTGGAGGCTCCTTCTTTGGAGGCTTTTAAACTAAGGCTGAATGGCCATCTGTTGGGGGTGCTTTGATTGTGCTTTTCCTGCATGGCAGAAGGTGGTTGGACTACGTGGCCTATGTGGTTTCTTTCAACTCTATGATTCTTTGATCTTTTACATTTTTTTCTTGTCACTGGAGTCCATTAATTCATGCTCTAGTCTCTGGAGCATCGGAAAACAATCTTCTACATGATCTCTCTTCAAATATTTCAAGATAGCTATCATGTCACTTCTCACTCTTCTCTTTACCAAGCTAAACACAATGGAATTCCAGTTGGCTAGTAAAATTGTTCCGTCTCCCAGGAGACTGGTTTATATTGCTTTTTTGGTTGCTTAAATTGGCTGCCCCTTGCTTTCTCTTGAAAGCTGCTGCAGCCTTGCAGGGCCTGGAGTTTGCAGCCAAAGGCGGGAAAAAGGCCATTCTGCAAACTCTTTGCAGTGATTGGCCTAGGAAGCAGCTCTTAGAGCCCGCCCTTCCTCCTGGGGAGAGTTTCCATTTTAGAATCTCCCTGCCCTATTCAGTTCTAAAGAAGCAATTGGATGTGCTGGAGGCCAAGAAAAGGTAGCTCTGAAAAAACCACTGCAAAAACAATTGAGTTATAGTCTATAAGCCTAATTGAGAATAACTGAGAATTGAGATAAGTATAATTGAGATATCATAGTTAAGAATTGAGAGAAGTTAAATTGAGTCATAGATAGAATAGAATTGAGTTTTATAGAGTTTATAGGGAGATAGGCTGCATTGCTTTTCTCCAAGGCTAGTCTGGAGCCTAGATAGTTAGGGAAAGATTGGTTCTTTCCATAGATAAGGGCTCTGGATTAGGGTGAGGGATTCCTGGACCCTTTGCCTCTTGGAGAAGGCTGACTCAGCAACTGGCGGAGAAGGAATATCTGTTTGATTTTATCTATTGACTGTTTGATTGCAACTTTGAAAGAACTGTACCAAGTCTGCAAGACTTTGAAATAAATATTCTTTTTTGACGTTCAGAACTTGCAATAGACTCAATTGCTGATTATCTCAATTTTCTCCAGAAAGCCCCAGCGGTTTGCCCAGACATAGGGACAGCACATCATAGTTTGTTTTTTATAAAGCGTCTGGGTGTAACGGCACAAAAATACTTAAAACAATAATTTGAGAACACTACAAAAGCAACAATAAAAGGATAAATATCAGATTTAAATAACAATTTAAAAATATTAAGATGCTATGTACAAACCTTAAAAATACACTTCAAACCTTAAAGATATGGTAACAGGTGATGAGAATTTGTAGGACTGCTGAATGTCACTTCTTTGTTCTCTATTTTTAAATATGTGTATGGTATTTTATGGTCCTTTGTTTTGTTTGTGTATGTTAACTATGTTGTACCCTGCATCGAGCCATGAGGAGAGGCGGGTAAAGTGTATCATCATCCTTGTTTGTATTTGGGACACAAAGCAGATTACAATTTAAATGAACAATCCAATTCAAAGCAAGAAATAGAATTAAACTACAAAATTTAAAAAGCTATTAAAAGCAATTAAGTCAAAACAGCTTGTGATTATTGGGCAAAACAAAAGGGTAAGCAGAGGGGGGATAAAATAATCCATGTCTCCTCCCTCATGCAACTTGCACACCTGCATGGAGTTTCTGGTCACTTATGGTAACCAGGTGAATTGGTAAATATGAGGTTGCATTAGATATTTCTTCATGATTCTCTCTCTTCCCATCCATAGAAGGACATGTCACTGAAGCCGCAGGAAAGAAAGGAAAAATGGGACAGACATCTGGGAAAGAAACCTCGAGAATCTGAACACTGCGTTTCTGCTGAGCCCAATGAAAAAGGTCAAAATAAGGATGCTGGGAGTTCGGGGAGAGAGACAGATAGAGGGAAGGAGCGGGTAAAGAAGAAAATTCCCTTCAAAGTCCACAAGCAGGTAAGACATCGATTGTTATTTATCTTCTGGCTTTTGCTGTGGAGTTACTATTTATTTTGAAACAAAAAGTTTTTGACCACATTCATAGAGAAAATGATCATATAGCATATATGGATATTTGTGATTGTGGTATTAAAGAGTGTGTTATGTTGAAAAATTATGTTGATGAAATTTGACAGATTGACTTACTTGTGTATTCTTGTATAAGTCTAGAAACTGTAGCCGTAAAATCTACTAAAAACCCGAGTCGATGTATCCATGTGCCTTAGCTATCAAAAAGGGAAGCATGTCCTTTTCTGAGTGGAGTGGCAAAAAGATAAGAGCTTAGTCCATCCTGGGAGAACTTAAAAGAAGCACCAATTCCTTCTATTCTTTCCATAATGGCACTGCATCTGGCTTCTTTTAGTGCCTGGGCAGGGAAATTGTGACAGCAGTGGCTGGCAACCCGAAGTGGTGCTGACACTTCCCTCTCTCCATGGAATGACCCTCAACTGATCCATGAATCATATAAAAATTCATAATTTTGGCCCCAAAACCTGCTCTCGACTTGTACAGTAGTTATACGGTACCTTTTGTCTTTCTACTGATTTAATATTTCACTGGTATATCTGAATATATTTGAAATGTTTTAATTTGCTGATTGTTGGCTGGGTTTTGGTGAAGTTTTTGGCAGATATGTGACTTTCAAAATATCAAATCTGAAATTCTCCGAATGCTAACTGACTATTTGGATAAGTTTAGCTAATTAGTGAGGCAACAAGGAGAACTGAAATCATAGGATGGGTATTGTGGGATGGGAGGAGGTACAGCAAAAAAGGAAAAGACCTGGAATATTCTTTCATTCCCTTTCCTAGTTATGAGGACTACTTTGCTAAAACAACAGAAAGTGTGGTGACAACTGGGAAGTATCTGAGACATCTGCCTTTTACAGAGCCCTTGTGTGAGCAGAGCTGTTGATTGAGCAAAGTTTATTGATTAGTCAACTGACCGTATCAACATTAAAAACAAAAAACAGAAACATACACAAATAGACAATAATCACTATCCTAGGACTCCCATAGAGCAGAGCTGTTGGAAACTAGGCCCTTGCCCCTTCCTTCTTTTTTTCCTTCCTCTGTAAGATTTGTGACAGTGGTGGAGCAAGGGGTTCCATGAGGAAAAACTCAGAAGGTACTGGACGTGTAACTAGCCCCCTTTTTCCCACAGGTGGAAGTATGTAGCTAGTGGCAAAAAAGTTTCAGTTCTTGGAATATTTCGGATTTAAAGATCATGGAGGCTCAGGCTATCAGGCCTGTAGCGAGGGGGGGGGGTTAGGGGTTCAACCCCCCCCCCGAAATGTTTCAGATTTTTTTTAAAAAACCTGGTTTACTCATGAATTTTAACTGGTTAACCAAATCCCCATGCTAGGTCTATGAGATGCAAAAAATTAAGAGTCCCTCCAGAACTGTAAGCACTATCTCAAGCAAATATTGACAATTTATTCACACTGTCATTACTTGCAGCAATAGCCGATGTAGCAAAGCAACCAAGTTGGGGGTGTGTGTGTTGAATGCTCTCATTAAGGAGGCCAGACTTGGTGGAGGTGGTTGACAGGGGCGGAGCTGCAGGCTATTGAAGGCTGCTCTGCCCCCTGCTATGCTCTTTGCTTCAGCGTGAGCTAGGAGGCAGGTTTCAACACACACACACCCCACAAAATTTTCAAACCCACCCCCTGAAAATTTCAACCCCTCCCAAATTTTTTTTCTGGCTATGGCCCTGCAGGCTATACTCTGCTTTATCCTCTGTTATTTGTTTATGTCCTACTTTCTCATTTCTTTATTTTATTTTGTTTTTACTATGCCTTCTATTTTGATTATTGATTTGAATGTGATGTTGTATTGTTTCATTTTTATTTTAAGCAAACACATGTGCTCAGGTGCATGGTGGAGTTTTGAAAAACACAAGCTTTCTTTTATTTTTATGATCAAGTATGATGCTGGAGTGAATTTGGTGTTTGTAAAGAAGGTAAAGGAAGGGTTGAGGAGTGTGGTGAATGTAAAATTAGATTAGTCCCATTATAAAATGCATAAGAATGTGGTTGAACTCCAACTTCCAACATAATGGGTCAATTCCCTCCAAAGTGTGCCAGTATTCAAACTTGGTCATGATGGGTATGTGTGCCAAGTTTGGTCCAGATCCATTGTCGGGGGAGTTACAGGGCTCTCTGGATGTGAGAACCATCTTGGAAGCCACATACGAAAACATAGCTACATACATACATATTTTCACGTGTATTAGATAGATAGATAATATAGAAGATATAGAAATTAGATGTGCTTTTGCCATTGATCTTTCTCAGAAATCCTTAATAAAAATACTTCTACAAAAAGGAGTGTGGTAAATGTGACACACGTAAAGCTTTGGGCTGTTTTTTCCCTGACCCTTCTGCTCCAGTCAACCTCCAGCCATTTCCTCACAAATATTCTGAGCTTGACACTGCGTTTCATGAATTTCAGCAATGGCTTCAGGTCTAGCCTGCCAGTCATGCATAATAGGGGCAGCCCCCGACAGCCATTGCTTGAACTAACATGTTTGCTAAAAGCTAAAGAGGTTGAGGCACCAAGTAGGTGGCAGGCTATTTATCACTTTCAGCAGCTCATCTGGGATTTAGGGAAGGAGGGGGAATATGGTACTCAGTTGTCAACCTGATACTTCCAGATTTGAAGCAATGTTTGTATTTATAGCAGTGAAGGCTTCCTCATTACTGATAAGAAAAAGAACTGGGCAAAAGTTAGTGTTGTTGCGTGCCTTCAAAGCATTTCTGACTTATGGTGACACTAGGGCTGGATCTACACTGCCCTACATCCCAGGATCCGATCCCAGATTATCTGATTTGAACTGGATTATTTGAGTCTACACTGACAGATAATCTGGGATAAGTAGATAAGATGGGATCAACTCTTGGGGTATAAGGCAGTATAGATCCAGCCTAAGGCAAACAGATAATGGGGTTTCTTGCCAAGATTTATTTCCCTTTCCTCCCTTAGAGAGCAATTCCAGAAGGGACTTTAATTCGCGCCCAATCGGATTTAAAAAACTATAGGAAATCTCCTAGTGTTTTTTTCTCTGAAATATCACTAGGATGCTCTTGGTGATTCAGTCTCTTCATCGAGTTTTTCCTCTTCGCTCATTTCAACGATCCGGCTGGCCTGCCAACTCACAGACAGGCCTCTTTCATCCCAAATTATGGGTCATTCAGCAAGAGCTGTTGCTACCATTTAGGCCCCCTTATATGGAATGCCCCGAAGATGTTTCGCCTGGCAACAATGTGGTCGATCCCATTCACTTTGTGTCTCACTGCAAGCGGGATGATTCCTCCAGAAGGGATGCAACCTTAGCAGAGTTGTGCTTGTTTCCTATGAAAAAATGACTCCCTCCTCCAAGGTGGGAAGCTCGCTAGTCACCCATATGTGTGATTTCACAGAGATCACAGAGGTTTGGTTACTTACCTGTAACCATGTTTCTGTGCAATTTGCATATTCCTGCCTATCCTCCCTGCTGTTCGTCACGCCTCGCTTCCTGTAAAGTGCTGTCATAGCGGCTAAGTTGCTAGCCCCACCTGATGATTATATCCTCCAGGGCAGGGTGCATGGGGCTACCACCAAGAGTTTCGTAAAGCTATAGAGAATTCTGAGCTGTCTTGCTCCTGCACACAAGACTCATATGTGCGAATTTCACAGATGACCACTTGAAGAAACTTGGTTACAGGTAAGCCATCAAACCTACACTGGCATCTTCCTTGGTAACTTTCCACAGGCATATTCAGACCTTTTATTTTGGCAATCCTTTGATTTTGATACATAGTGTTGCCAAATTCTCTGTATGCCTCAAGCAATCAGATCAATTCAAGAAAAGGTAGGGAACCATTTAGTTGCAAACACAGTGCTTCAGCTGTCTCCCTTCATGGCAGGGGGTTGGACGAGATGGCCCTTGTGGTCTTTTCCAGCTTTATTATTTTATTTTTCCATGACATACTAATGATACCCGGCAAAATACAAATTTCAGGAACATGGTATAGTGGTATTTAAGGCATTTATTCTTCATTGTTTGGCCCTTAGGTCAACCTAGAAGCAGCCTAGATTGCCCTCCCCTGTTCCCTCTTTGTAATCTTCTAATACAAAGAATTCACAGCTGCCTAGTCCAGGCACCAAGTGTTGAAATGGGCAGTGCCGTATTTAGTCATTAGGACCACTTGTAGAAAGAGCTAAAATACGGCTCATTTCAATCAATAGCAATCTGCACAGCCAGAAGCTAATTTAAAAATCTGCTTTAAGTCCTGGTTAGGCTTTTTGATGCTGAAAGTAGGGGAATTGTTGAGATTGGCACTGTGGCAGCAGCAGGGAAGGAAAAAGAAAACAACTAAGGAAAACCCTATTATTTTAATATAGTTTATCCTCACGGTTAAAGCTTCTTGCTGCCAGCTTTTGTACACAGCTCTATGATGAGTCCAAGAAAAAAGATGCTCAGGTTAGGCATTCACTCTTGAGGGAATGTGGCATGTCAATGTTTAGATAAAAAGGACCAGACTGGGGCAGTTAGGCTACTGCTTCCAGACATGATATTGCAGGGGCTTTCGTTGGTCCCTGCAAGACATATTGGGTCTAGCACAACCACCACAATTGTTTAAGTAAAGGAATAGGAGCATGGTTGCTAAGTAACTCCTCCTTCTGGTCCTTGCAGCTTCCAAGCTGGTGAGAGGAAGGAAATTGTACCAGGTGTATGGGATTTGAAGAACAGCACTATTCTCTATATGGGTCTACAGTATAAAATTTTGTTGTTGTTGTTTATGCGTTCAGTAACTTCTGACTCTTCGTGACCTCCTGGACCAGCCCATGCCAGAGCTCCCTGTCAGCCATCACCACTCCCAGCTCCTTCAAAGTAAAACCAGTCACTTCAAGGATACCATCCATCCATCTTGCCCTTGGTCGCCCCCTCTTCCTTTTTCCTTCCATTTTCCCCAG